GGCAGGGGTTGCTGGACCCTCATCAAAGCAGAGATGAACTGACAGGTTCGACGGTGTGGAAGGTTGTACTGAGAAGAGTCCCTGGTGGACAGAGGAAGACGTGGCTCCAAGTTCAAAGGAGACTTGAACAAGCAGAAATGTTAAGCAACTATCAACTTGAGGGAAAACCAGAAAGCTGTGCCAAGATGAAAATGTAATTATCGTGAGTGCACTTGGCTCAGCAGTGCATGTTTACACAGTTAGAAGGAGGAAAACACTGAGCCAGGTTAAAAATAAAGCTGTGATAACAGCTTGAGCCAGAGGCGAGGGGTGGGTGGGGGTGTGAGGAGCTATCACCTCCTCTATCAGAACAGGAAGGGCATAGTGCCTTCCCACACAGCTCCCCTCAGCACAAAGGCCGGGCTGACCTGTGGGGCACCCACGGGTGGGGGGAGGGCATCAAATCCTAACCCAGTCCCCTGGGTTGCTCCTCTCCTTCCTGGGACTTGTCACATGGCCGTTTCCTGTTCAGTTTGTGTTTTCACTAGAGAAACATCTTTGCGGATGCATGCCCATGGAAAGTCCGCATTGCCTCCATCTAAGCAGGTTTTGTATCTTCCATCCTGGATGGAGCAACTCAGTTCCCACGTTCATTGTTTGGGCTCCTCCTGTCCTGGAGGCCTGGCTGTGGGCCTGCAGGCTGAGTCTAGGGCAGCCCTTGTGCTTGGGGTCTAACAGCTGGGCCACTAGTGGTGGAAGCTCAGGCCCCTCGCCATGTGTTTTCTCTGGGCCTTGGTTTCCTACAATCTCCCCCTCCCCCAGGTTGTGAGGATAAGTGAGGACAGGGGAAAGGGTCCTGCAGTGGGCCTGGCACACAGCAGGTGCCCAGTAAATGTAAAGATTAAATCATAAAGAGAAGAATGAGACGAGGTCCCAGCCCTCATGTAGCTTTTTTTTTTTAAACCTAATTAATTAAATAATTTTTGGCTGTGCTGGGTCTTTGTTGCCGTGTGGGCTTTTCTCTAGTCGCCATGAGCAGGGGTTACTCTCTAGCTGCTGTACTTGGGCTTCTCAGGGCAATGCCTGCTCTTGCTTCGGAGCACGGGCTCTAGGGCATGTGAGCTTCTTTAATTGTGGCTCCCAAGCTCTAGGCACACGGGCTTCAGTAGCGGTGGTGCACAGGCTTAGCTGCCCCTTGGTATGGGGGATCTTCCCAGACCAGGGACCGAACCCGTGTCCCCTGCACTTGCAGGCAGATTCTTTTTTTTAATTAATTAATTTATGTTTTAAAGTTAATTTATTTTTGGCTGTGCTGGGTCTTTGTTGCTATGCGTGGGCTTTCTCTAGTTGCCACAAGTGGGGGATCCTCTGTTGCTGAGGTAACTGGGCTTCTCATTGAGGTGGTATTTCTTGTTGCAGAGCATGGGCTCTCGGTTGCAGGAGCTTCAAGAGTTGCAGTACACAGGCGCAGGAGTTGTGGCGTGCAGACTTAGTTGCCCCGCAGCATGTGGAATCTTCAAGGACCAAGGCTCGAACTTGCATCTGCTGCAATGGCAAGTAGATTCTTAACCACTGGACTGCCGGGGAAGTCCTAATTTATTTATTTTTAATTGAAGGATAATTGCTTTACGATATGGCAGGCAGAGTCTTAACCACTGGACCACCAGGGAAGTCCCATTCATGGAGCTTTTGAAAACATTACAGATTTTATTTTTTTGAGGGGAGGGTCTATATCTGGATTCACAGAGCAATTTCTCATTAAATTTCCTGCTTCTACCTCCTAATATTGAGCTTGGGGGAACAATCTAACTTCTTTGCATTGGTTTCTTTTCATGTAATAATAGGAATCAGACTCTCTACTCCTTCCCTCCCGGAAAGGTGAACTTGGCTCCATGAGCTGAGAGAATGTATTAAGGAGGAGGCAGAGGAATGTGTGGCAACTGAGGCCTTCCTGGGGGTCGGGGCGGGGGCGGGGATGTGGCACCACTGGTTCCTGCCCACCCCCAGGGGATGGTGGGTTTGGGGGTGTGAGATTTTGGGGGAACATCTGAAGAATTCTCTCCCCCCTCCCTGCCAGGATCCCTGGGAAGGTCTGTGAAAGCCCACTTTCAACCCATTCTCCGCCACGGGGATCCCAGGCTTCAGCCATGTCTGATTACCTGCCACATCCTTGTAGTCATCTATATTGTCGCACCTGCATGGTTGGCTATGAGACCACCCCCTACCCACCCACACATTCCATTCTGAAGGATCCCACCTAAACCCTGCTGGCCTGTGGACCCCTCATTCCTGCTGCGTCCCTAACTGGTCAGGAGCTGTCCCTTCCTCTGGCACCAGGTGGCACTTTAGAGGCAGGTGTCGCATTGGTTATGCAGAGGTGAAGGGCAATAGCTTGGGTGTGTGGCTTGGGACTCGGACTTGAAGCCAGACCCTCGCCCACCAATGAGAACACTGATCGCAGTGTTGTCACCCAGCGTGGGGTTGCAAGCCATGTGGTCACAGTGGAAGTGCAGTGGGTCTGCTGGGGGTGGCGAGGGGCAAACTTTCCTGGGAAGAGCGTACAGCACCTATTTTTGGCTTGGCTGGCCATGTGACCTGTGGTGTGACAGCCGCAGCCCACCATGCTGTGAAGAAGCAACTGGGTTTAAAAACGGGCAGAGGGCCAGTCTGTGGGTTGGGGGTCCCAGAACTCACTAGAGACCAGCAGGTCTCCGGGAGTAAGGACACTGGGGCGGGGGGTGGGGGAAGGAGCACCTGGGTGCCTGTTGGGAATGCAGTGGATGCATGTCCAACCCACTGGATCAGACTCGGTGTGAGTCCCGGTGACTGTGTAATACAACCCAATGGCAGGTCATCAGCGCGGGGACAAGTGCAAATGGGCCCCTGAGCCCCATGCCATGCTGGCCTGCATGGGAAGGTGCTGGGCGCTGGCGAGGAAGGAGAGGTGGGAACAGAGCCTGAGACCACCCGACCCTGAAGCAGACCCTAAGGGTCATTTCTGTCTCGGAAATCTCTCTTGGCTTTCCTTGTCATTTCAAGACTCCTCCTCTTCCTCCCAGAACCTCCCGGGGTGCACTAGTGGTAAAGAATCCACCCCTCAATGCAGGAGACACAGGAAAGAAGGGTTTGATCCCTGGGTCGGGAAGGTACCCTGGAGGAGGAAACAGCACCCCTCTCCCGTATTCTTCTTGCCTGGAGAATTCCATGGACAGAGGAGCCTGGCGGGCTACCGTCCATGTGGTCACAAAGAGTCGGACACAACTGAGCACACACACAGCTCTTCCTCCACTGCAGCACCTCACTGGCTCCCCATTTCCCACTGAACCCCGAAGGTGGGTGTTGCTATGCCTGGCCATTGGGCTCCTCTAGGGGGGAGATACCCTTGCAGGCATCTTCCATGAAGTGGGCATGTGCCCCCTCTGCACACCTGCTCCCTCCTCCTTCCCTCCCCCTCTTCCTCCCTCCCCTCTGGTTCTGGGTGCCAGCCCAGTGGCAGCCTCTTAGCCCAGAAGGACCTCTTCAGAAAGATCTCCCACCCTCCATCACTGGGAATCCCCTGCAGCTCAGGGTGGCAGTGGGGAGGTGGGGGGAGGAGTCTGCTTTCTGACTTCTCCCGCTTCTATTTTCTTGCTCAAGGAACTAGCCGCATGGGCTCCATGGGTCAATCTTGCTGCTGGCACCCAGAGGCGCAGGGTGAGTGAGCAATGGGGGGCTCGGGGTGGGGGGGCTGGGGTGGAGGACCAGGTACAACCCCCCACCGGGGGCAAGTAGCTGCAGGGTCTTAGGCCAGTTTCTCAAAGGTGCCTTTTTCTATCTGTAAAATGAGGGTGTGGGTCCCCCTCTCAGGAAGCTGGGATGAAGTGCAGGAGGCTCTCAGCAGAATTTAGGAACATGGAGGCTGGGCGAGGTTAGGGCCAAGACCAGGTCCCAGCCCAGCCAGGCTGCTGAGGGAGGCAGGGCAGAGGAGAGGAGGGAAAAGCGTGACACCCAGAAGCCAGCCACCACTGGGGTGAGGCAGAGGGCAAGCAGGGAAGGAACATTTGCCTAGATCTGGGTGTGGCACCGGCCTGCAGGGAGTGACCCTAAGAATCACGTGGTGAGAGGCTGGCCTGGCTGACAGGCCAGCCAGCCGACCCTGGGCTATGTGCTGGGTGGGTACCAGGGAGATGTAATCCCTTACACACTTGAGCAATTATCAAAATTCCTATTGACTAAGGCTGCACTACCCGTGGGGGTGGGGGCAGGAGGGGAAAGAGGCTGCAGGCGCCTGGACACTATGGGGCACCTCTGGGAAATGGGATTAAAGGGGTTTTCACTTTAGAAATGGATTTCTGTATTCTCCAAATTGTCTATGAGAGTCACGTATTAATTTTATAATCAGGAAAGCACGCAACTATAAATCAAGTTAATGAAGTGGAACAACAGAAACCAAGGGACCCACCCTCTCCCCCATCCACGGGCTCTCTTCCTAGCTGGGGGAGGACTGGAAGCAGGAAAATGAGCCTAACTGGAAGCAGGGCCTGAGGGGCGACGGGCCAGGAATGCGACGGGCCAGGGCCCCTGAGGAGTCATGTGGGAAATCCGGACCTGGGAAACCTACTGCCCGCCTCATCCTCTCGCCCCTCCCTCTCCACTTCCTTCCGATCACCCCGGCGACCACATTTAGGGCGCACTATTTTACCCCAAGAGTTTCCCAGTGCAGCAACTCCACCACCCCCATAGTTTGCATCAGACCTTCCTGTCGCGTTGCTGGGCGTGGACGGGCGGGACCCGCTAGCCCCGCGGTGGCCGCCCGCGGAGGCGCACCGGTGGGGCCCCGGCCAAGAGGGGTTCGTCCTCTTTCAGGGACACTCAGACGACAAATGGCCCCACAGAGACCCAAAACGACCGTTTTCAACCCCAATGCCGGCCTCAGTCTAGCAGTCTGTAGCCAGTGGACGGAGCCACTCTTCCGCAGCCTGGGCGGGTCTCAGCTGCAAGCCTCGGGACCCTGGAGCCTCCTTCCGGAACCCCTTTCTTAGGGGCACTCGGGGCGAGGCAGGAAGGTCTGCGGTCCACTCGCGACTTTTCTTTGCCCTCGCCTGGCTCAGGCGTCCCCAGGCCCGCGCGCGGAGCCTCCGCCTGCCGCGGGGCGACCTGCCGGGTGCGGACAATCAGACCCTGAGGCGCACGCCCCGCCGCGTGCGCTCGGCACCGGCTCGCGGCCCCTGCAATCTGAGCACCGGCCGCCCGCAGGTGCTTCACCTGTCGGCATCACAGAACCCCTACAGCAACCCAGTGTAGTGATGGGGAGACAGGCTCCTACCTTGCTCAGGTCACCTCCGAAACTAGCCACCTCCCCGGGCGCGCGTGAACCGGGTCTCCTCTGGGAGGAGAGCGCCAGGCGGGGACTGAGCGGAGAGGAGTGTGGCCGGGGAGGGGGCAGAGAGGACGCATCCCGGGGCTGAGCAGGGCTAAGACAGGCTTATCTGGATTCACGCGGGGAGCTGGTGCAGCAGGCCCACCCAGGACGGACGTCCTGACACAGGACACGTGGAGACGCGTGGGGACAGGGCACTGGTCAGGCAGCGTCCGGATGCATTGGGCCCTCCGGCTCCACGTCCCAGCAAGGTCGCTGGCCAGGGCGGCGCCCACGCCTTAGGGAGCTGGGCGCTGAGAGGGGCAGCGGGTCAGAGCCTGGCATCTGCAGCCCCGCTACTCGCAGGTCGCTGTCCGCTCTCACGCGCAGCCTGGTGGGGTTTGGGAAACCCGAGGGCAAAGTTAGGGGCTGGCGATCATCAGGAAGTCCTTGCGGCGGGCCTCGAAGGACCGGGTGGGCAAGAATGGACTGTGGGGTGTTTGCCCCGAGGCTTTCCCGAAAGCCATCCTTCCACGACTGCGTGGGACCCCCGGACCCGCTCGGAGGACCGCGTCCTGCGGAGGCTGAAGGCGCTCGGGGCCGAGGAAGGGCCCGCGCTGGGATCCATCCATCCCCTCATCCCCAGCATCTCCGCGTCTGCACCCTCCGCGCCCCAACTCCCCAGAGAAACCCACGCGGGCCGTGGGCGCCCTCGAGCGACAGAAGAATTAACTAGCGCCGCCAGCACGAGGCGCAGGGTCTGTCCAGGGACCATCAAGACCGCGAGGTCCCGCTGGGAGGCCCTCGGCAGAGGGAACAGAGGAGCTGAGGCTCAGCGCTGGGAAGGGCGGAGCTACTGAGGGAGGGGGGCGACCCGGGAAGGGCAAAGCCGGGGGTAGGCATTCCAGGGTGACCATGGCCGCGACCCCTCTGGGGAGGCAGGGGCTGCTGTAAAGCTGAAGGGGCTCCATCCTGGCCAGGGGTGGAAGGAGAGGGCAAGAGGCTCCAGTGAGGTGGCCAGGGCAGAAGCCCAGTGGGGGTGGAGCCTGAGGGGTTGATAAGGGGGCTCCTGGGTTGGATGTGACAGGAGGACTGCATGCAAGCAAGGTGACATGTAAGCCAAGGTGGCACCCTGGTTTGGGGTTTGGGTGGCTATGTGAGTACCAGTGTCATTTTTTCTGAAGGGGGATATACTGCGGGGTAGTGGGGCAGGTTGGAATGGGAACCAAGAAGTCCACTTGAAGATTCCCTCAGTTTCAGGTGGAGACCCAGAGAGAGGTGGAGGCTGCAATGCAAGTGTCAGGGTATTGGGATATGACTTGGTCCCCCAGGAAGATGAAGGCAGAGAGGGAAGGGGCCCCAGGATTAAAAACTCCTAATAGATCCATTTTGCATCTGTTGGACAGTCTTCTCCTTTAATTGAGAAAGCCTGGACTTCACAGAAAGGGCAAAAAGCAAACCTGAAATGCAGGCTGCCTTGCAGGCCTCTGGAGCTGGCCAGGGGCCCAGCAACTGGGGGTCAGGCAAGGGAGCAGGCCTCCAGTCCAGGGGCCAAGCCCGGGCCTCCCTGCCTAGATGGCTCAGAAAACAAGCCTGATTGGATGCAGAGGGTCCAAGGGTTGATGATCAGGTTCAGTGATGCTGGGACCCATAGAACAGAGCTGCTCCTGGAATGTGTTTCCCAGTGTCTCAGCACTGGCTGCCAGGAAGTGGTTCCTAGCTGCCCGCTGGATGAGCGTGGTGTCTGCATGCACCCTGGCCCGAAGTGTACCCGGCGGTCATTCCTCTGTGTCTTCCTTAGATCAGGGCTTCCCTGGTGGCTCAGATGGTAAAGAATCTGCCTGCAATGCGGGAGACTTAGGTTCGATCCCTGGCTCAGACCCTGGGTCAGGAAGATCCCCTGGAGGAAGGAATGGCTACCCAGTCCAGTATTATTGCCTGGAGAATTCCATGGACAGAGGAGCCTGGCGGGCTGCAGTCCATGGAGTTGTAAAGCGTTGGACATGACTGAGCGACTAACACTTTTTCACTTTCACTCCTTAGGCCTGGCATAGCTGCAGAACCAGAGAATGTCTCCTGATACACCTTAAAGAAGTTGCAGGTGCCACCAGATGGGTGGGGATATGACTGGGTGGTGGGTTTGGCCTTTTCCACGCTCCAGGAAGCCTCCCCAGCAGTTCCATTAGTCTTGGTCACAGCCTGGCAACAGGTTCTAGCCAAAGGAAGCTGGTCTAGCAGGCACTGATCAGACACCCACCCCGGCCCTGCGGAGGCGGTGATAGCAGGATCACAGACAGGGTGGGAGTGCCGGACCTGAGAGCTGGCTTCTGGGGCATCTTCCAGGGGCATTTCTCTCCAGCCCCAGTCCAGATCCGTGCTGTGAAGTTGCCTCTGTAAGTCCTGGCATGATGTCTCTGAGGTGCCTCCAGTCCTCAGTCCTCTGCTCTCTTCCTCCCCCGACGGCATTTTTGACAGGCTCAAGCAAACACAATCGTGTACTTCAACACACTTGATCCCCTCCAGCGTTATAACGCATCATTCCCCAGAACACACTGAGGCTGCAATTAAGCACACCTGCCCCGGGCGGCGGGGCGGGGCCGGGCCGAAGGCGGGACCAGGAGCCTCAGGATCCCGCCGTCTGCACCGCAGCCCCGCCCCTCTGTGGCCCCGCCCTACTCCTCTCCGAAGCCTAACAGCCGGCGCGGGCAGAATCGCGACTCCTGTTTCCGCCGGGCAGTCAGAGTGCCGGACCAGCTTCCGGCAGCGTGTGCGGCTTGAGCCCCGCGGCTTCCGGCCGGCTGTGTGTCATCGCCGGGAAGATGGGGAAAGTGAGGAGCCTGAGGGCCCGGGTGCACCAGGTTGCCGTGAGGCCCACGGGGGAGGCAGCGCCCGCCCGGGAGGTAGCCCCTCTGCAGGCCTCGATTGGTGGAATCGCGGGGAAGGTAAGCTGGGGATGCTGCGGGCGGTAGGGGTGGGGAGGGGGAGCGGGTGGAGGAAGGGGGCAGCGGGAGAGTCGGGCGCCACACTGTGCGGCCCCAGGGTCCCCTGCCACCCCGAAGCGTCCCTGCGGCCCCACGACTGCACTCGGCGGGCTTTGCCGCACGGCCTGTGAGCCTTCCCGGTCCACAAAGTGTGGCCTCCGTGGACCGCCAGGCTCGGAGCAAGAGGTTGACTTGCTCCGCATTTGGAGCTCTGCGAGGGAGAACCAGAAACCTTCCATCCCGGCTTGTAGAAATCTGCGCGGAAAAGGTAAATATTCCTTTACGTGGTAGCTGCGCTCCAAGGAAAGGAAAGGGGATTCCCAGCGTTAAGGAAAAAAGAGAAGAGCAAACTGAAGAGATCATGCTGTACCCTGGAGCTGTCCCCTCCTCCCAACCCCCTGTCCTCGGCCTCGTAGGTCCCCTCATCCCTCCCGGCCCTGAGCAGCCGCTCATCTTTGCCTATGTTCTGTACATTTCACATGGATGGGGTCGTGTAGGTTTCCGCCTTTGCGTTTGTTTTTTTGGACTTAGCACAGTGTTTTCAGCGCTCACGCAGGTTGTATGATGTTTAACAATGCTTCATTCCTTTTTATGGTGGAATCACCTTCCACTGTGTGGTTAGGCTGTGTTTTGTTTATCCAGGTGCTGACCCTGGAGCTGCCTGGAAGCATTTACTGGTGTTTGTAGTCAAGGGGCCAGCACCTGGACAGTGGAGAAATCCTCTTGGTTTGTGGGAACCATGACTTTGGGTCAGTAATGCTGAAGAGAGCAACCTTGTTTGTTAAGCATTTGCTATGTGCCAGACACCTTGCATCTTTGTAACAGTCCCAGCACTCATTTTACAGGGAAAGAACTGAGAGTTTAAAATGAGCTACCAAGGGCATTCAGTTGCTGATGGAGGACCTGATGTGTGATCCCAGGATCTGGCATCAGTGCCCTGGCTTCCATAAAACTTTATTGGGATAGAATTCATGTCATAAAATTCATCCATTTAAAGTGTACAATTCATTGGGCATTTTTAAAGAATATTCACAAATTTATGCAACCATCACTACCAGTTTCTGAACGTTTTTGTCACTGCAAGGAAATCCCATACTTACCATCAGAAATTCTGGCAACCACGAATCTGCTTTCTGTCTCTATATATTTACTTCTTCTGGACATTTCATATAAATGGAATTAATACGATATGTGGCCTTTTGTGTCAGGGTTTTTTCACTGAGCATGTTTTTGAGGTTTGTTCTTATAGTGTTATTTTCGTAGCACTTATTTCTCTGTTCTCATTCCTTTTATGGCTGAAAAATATCCCATTATCTGAATAAACCAGACCACACTGCATTTTGTTTCTCCATTCATAAGTTGGTGGATAGATTGTTTCTAATTTTTGGCTGTCATGCTACTGCTCTGTACTAATTTTCCTGTGGATTTGTGGAATGGAATTGCTAGGATGTACGGAATTCTAAGCTGAGCTTTTTGAGGAATTGCCAGTTTACTTTCCATGATGGCGGCACCATTTTACATTCCCACATTCCCACCAGCAATACGTGAGGGCTCCAATTTCTCCACATCCTCACCAGCAATTGTTGTTGTCTGTCTTTTTGATTATACCCATCCTGCTGGATATCAGGTGGTATTTCATTCTTTAGATTTGCATTTCCCTAAGCGATAAGAATAATGTTGAATCTTTTCTTTTCCTGGGCTTGTTAGCTGTTTATCTTTGGAGAAATGTCCTTTCAAGTTCTTTGCTCACTTAAAAGTCGTGTTGTTTCTCTTTCTGCTGAGTTGTCAGAGTTATATATTCTGGATACTAAACTTTATCAGATATATATGGTTTGCAAATATTTTTTCCACTTCAGTGGGTTGTCTTTATTTTCTTGAAATTGCCCTTGGAAGCACAGAGTTTTTAGTTTTTGTAATACCAGTTTCTCTTGTTTTCCCTTGTTGCTTGTCCTTTGGGTGTTGTGAACTGTCAGGGTTTGGTTGAAAAGCTCAGGGCAGTCTGAGCAGTTTGGTCACGGCTCTGTCTCTTTGTTGGTATTCTCTGATGAGACGTTGTCGTCATACTTTCCTAGCTCTTCGGACATGCTTTCAGTCCTGTGGCAGAGATGAGGTCATGGCAAAGTCCAACACGGCCCCTCAGACACCGCTTCTGTTGCCTAGGTCTTGTTTCCAGTCTCTCTGCGTGTGTCATGCCATGTTGTTCTTGAAAGCTGGCTGTCTTCGGTAGTGCGTGTTAGCACTGACTGGGCTGTTGTTTGCAAGTCATTTCGGTTGTTCCCTGGCCTGGCTCAGCTCCTGTGTAACCGAGTCCATTCTGCACCAATGTGCACCCTGCTGTCTGCCTATTATGTTTTCTTGTTTCTGTCTTGTAGCCTGGCAGCCTGAGTCAGCGCACGCCTCTTACTGCCAGATTGTGCTTCAGCCCCCACGGCCATAGAAACCTTTGCCCTTTATCGCTGGATGTGCCTCTGTGGCTGGGAGGCTGCCTTCACAGTTCAGTCCCACCTTCAGCAGGGACTGGAGGCTTTGCAAGTCCAGCTGGTCACTCCTGAGCCAGTGCAGCCTTGAGCTCACACTGCCTCCAGCCTGCCATGATGCTGCTTCCTGGAAGCTGCCCCCAGGCCAGGGCAGCTTGGTGCCTGGCCAGTGTCTGCTCAGAGGTTTTTCCTAAGCTGCCGTGTTACTGACGCCCCTTCCAAGGCCCCTGTCCTGAGCTTGGACCTGAATGAGGAGGTCAGGCCTCGGAGGCAGGGTCTGGGTTAGCATGGTGTGCCGGGCAGAGTGACCTGGAGGGTTGTGAGACCTCAGTGTGGGATGAATGTGGTCAGAGGCCCAGAGATTGTTGGGGGAGTGTGGAGGTGGAGGAGCAGCCATGAATGACAGGAAGAGTAAGAGGTGGGAGGTTTGGGAGGAAACCTGGGTCCCCTCTCGGGGGCTCCTGAATGTTGAGATTACAAACATTACAAATGTTGTGATTTGTAATTGTTACTGAGCCTGGGTCTGGTCTCAGGTGGTCTGGAGGCTGGAGCCAGGCCCAGGGGCGGGGGTTGGGGGGTGGGGGATGAGCTGAGGCTGCAAGGAGCGTGTGACCTGAGAGGCCTGGGGTGGGGGGGGGTGACCTCGGGTTCCTCTCCAGCTCCTGCTCTGGAGAAGTCAGGGTCTGGCCCTCGCTGAGGGGTCTCTGAAGCTGCAGAGCGAGCCTTAAGTCTCCCCTCTTGCCTCTTTAGGAGTTGGCTTGCGTGAACGCTAATGTGTTTGCTGGGACCACGATAGAACCCAGTGCCTTGGTGCAGAAGCTGGATGTGGAGACAAGGAGCGTCACCTCTGTCAGGAGAGGTGAGAGCTGAGAGTGAGCAGGGTGGACCTTGGGGTGGGGAGCTTTTGGTGCAAGCCAGCTTCCACATGCTCGTAGGCACAGGCCAGAGCACAGCTCAGGTCGGCCTGTGTACTTTATATGTACTTTTATTTATTTATTTGGCTGCTCCGGTGTTAGTTGTGGCATGTGGGATCTGGTTCCCTGACCAGGGATCAAACCCAGGCACCCTGCGTTGAGGGCATGGAGTCTTAGCCACTGGACAACCAGGGAGGCCCAAGAGGTGTTTTTTTATTAGTGGAAAGTTTTAAAGATGTGCTGAATAGAAAGATGGTATTAAACATTCTATGTGCCTATCTCCTGCCTTCCGATGGTATAAAACATTCTGTGTTTCTGTCTCCTGCCTTCAGATGGTACAAAACATTCCGTGTGCCCATCTCCTGCTTTTAGCACACACAGCATGGGGCTATTTTGAGGCAAACAGCATTTCCGTCAGGAATCCTTTAGTCTGTATTTCTTGGGGCTCTAGAGACATAAACGCCTACAAGGCTGTTAGCACACCTGAACACATTGGTTGTAATAACCTTATTGCAGGTGAACGAAGTAGAAGGAGCTCCTGTCTCCCTGACTGCCTCAGTCAGAATCAAGGGTGCACTGTGGCCCCCAAACCCCTCTTCCTTCACTTTTGTATCATGGGGAGAGATCTTCTTTCTGACTGCACGCCCCCCATTTCGGGCTTTGTGATACTGTTATCCCGGTGTTCTGTCTGGGCTGGTCCTGGAGCAGGGTGCAGCTCTCCTGCCCTGGGCAACCACACCTCATCCGCTCTCAGCAGGTGAAGCCTTCATGCTGCCTATGCTATCTGTGTGTTTACGGCTGAGCCATTGAGAGCGGAAGTATCCTCAGTCCTGTTGAAGCACTCTGGCCTCCAGGGCAGGGCTTCTGGTGTTGAGCATAATTTTTCTGAATTTCCATGTACAGTCTGAACTGCTGCTGGAGTTAGTTGTAGTTATTTCACAGGTGTGCCTATGTCGAGTGTTTCCCATGAGATTGTGTTGTTCGCAGCTTGGTTTGGATTTTTTTTTTAATTTCACCGAGAGTTTATCCGAATCTTCTTGCTATTCTTTGTACATTGAGACTGTAGGGAGGGAAGCCTTCTCGTCTCTGCCCTCCTAGATTCCTGGCTAGGGCCCTGCAGGTTAGACTAAGAGAAAACAGATTAACAAGAGAAAAACAGGTCACTGCTGTGTGCAGGTCACATCCCGTGGGAGAAGCCTCCATGACAGGAGCTCAGAGGCATGGTGAGAACCTGGGCCTTGGAGTGTCTCAGTGAGGAGCAGCAATGCTGTGGGCGGTGAACACGTGGAGGAAGGTTCGTGTGTGCAGCTCCCTGTGGCTCTGATTCTGGCGTCCTTGTGGCGTTAAACTTCCCTGGAGGAGGGGGCCCAGGCAGTCCTCGTCTCAGAAGCTCCCAGCTTGGGTCAGATGAGGGGAGTTGCAACCTGCCGGCTCTGTTGGCTCCAGCCCGAAGTAATCCAGGTGCTCAGAGCGGTGTGTTTTCAGCGCCATCTTCTCGCGCTCAGGCCCTCCCGCTGCTTCTTGGGCTGGATCCTGCAGAGCTCTGGCTGCCTTCTGCCTGACTACTTTCCCATGCTCAGGGGTGGGGATCAGGGGGCACCACGGGGACTTGCATCGGGAGGGCAGGAAGGGTCTGGAGTCGCGGCCCCTCAGGCCCCTGTGGTGACCCACACGATCCAGCAGTTTTGTGTGTTAACTGGTTCTCCTGTGGTTTGTGTACTGGGCAGTTTTGATCGCTTTTCTTAATCCTGAAGAATTTTTATGTGTTGTGGAGGGCAGCTCTTTATTATTTTGGGCAAAAACTCTCCCAGGGTTTTTGAATGCCGAGGGAGCTAGTCCTCCAGGGAGCTGATGTGTGCTGCCATCCCTGCCCTCCTGCGTGCCTCTGTCTCTCTCTCTCTCTCACTGTCCGTTGGCAAGTGCTGGGCACTTGGTGCTCAGCGTGGCACTCGGACATCTCCCCTCTGTCCGGGGCTCGGGGGAGGGGCTGCTGAGTGGGAGGCTTGTTTTCCTGCGGCAGCTGACAGACGTCCCCTCGCCGTGAGCCGTGTCCACAGAGGCACAACATGCACGGATCCCCACTTCCCTGAGAGGGTGGGTCTCGCAGGGAACAGCCCGCAACCCAGCGCCTGCCTCTGACCCCCTGTCGTGGGACCTCCATGTGGGGCTCAGGGGACCCAGCAGAGAGCAGAGCAGCCGTGCTGCCCCTGGCATCCCTGACGTGTGCAGGGAGTGGAGGGGACACGGGACCGTGCATCGCTGGCTGCTGAATCTTGAGCGTTTGTTAACTGCATCCATCAGGTGAGCTGTGGGCCTGCTCGGGACTCATCCGGGCTCCTTCAGCCTCACGTTGGTGAGGGACTGATGCACACGCATCGTCTTCTGCGCAGACGAGGCTGCGGTACCCAGGGGTGGGGGGAGATGGGGCCGAGCTCAGAGCCAGCTCAGTTACCCTGAGCCTTCACACTGAGTCTGAGGCTCGTCGAAAAGGCTGCACAGACAGTGTGGGCTGCCCAGGGAGCATGGCTGATCAGAAAGAGTGCGGTGTCACTTGAGGTGGAGGGGACACTGAAATCTGGGTGGCATGGCCTGAAAACCAGAGGCGTATGCGAGGGGCAGGGAGAGAAGAAGGGCAGGTGTTTTCTTCTATGGGACGGTCAGGGAGGAGGAGGAGCCCCTGAGGGGGACGTCTCTTATGGTCCCAGGGCCTGGCACGCAGGCCCAGGAGGCAGAAGACTGGCCAGCTCTTGGAAAGCAGTCTCTCCCCAGTGAGAAGCCTTTTTTTTTATATTAAAAAAAAATGTCATAATGTACAGAAAACTAAAGGAGAATGACAGGAGGAGAGGGCCCAGAGCTCAGGGCAACGGGCTGTGTGCCTGTGGCCCTGCGGCTGGCAGAGTCCCGAGAGCCCCAGTGCTGAGGGTGGAGAAGGTGGGCGGGCAACCTGAGGCCGTGTGCTCAGGAGCCTCCCGCGGGGGGTTGGGGTGATAGCAGGCCCTTCTTGCCGTGTTGGGGTTCAGATGAGTCTGTAACTGTGAAATATTGGGAATGGTGCCTGGGCCTGGCCTTAGGATGGCGAAGCCGTGGGCCTGACTGGCCACATGTCCTGTTGAGTGGGCCTCCTCTCTGCCGGCCGAGGCGCCCGGTTCCCAGTGGCAGATGTCTGTCGCCATGCCCACAGCTCCCTCTGCAGCAGCAGACTTGCCTCCACATTGGCCCGTGCCCTGGCTCCCTCGGGTGCTGGGCCTGGCAAACCCCCCGAGTTTGAGCTGGACCGGTGGCCAGGACAGACACAGGTCGTGGGGAACGTGGTGTCCGGTGACTCAGCTCTGCTCACGACCTGCTGGGCCGTGCAGGCGGGGTACCTGTCGGCCTGGACAAGCGCATCCTCGCCCCAGGCCGGGGCGTGGGCAGGGTACCTGTCGGCCTGGACGAGAGCGTCCTCGCCCTGGGCCGTGCAGGCAGGGTACCTGTCGACCTGGACGAGAGCGTCCTCACCCCGGGCGGGGGCGTGGGCAGGTACCTGTCTACCTGGATGAGAGCGTCCTCGCCCCGGGCCGGGGCGCAGGCTGCTCCACTGCCCGCCTCCCTGGCCCCCGTGGTCAAGTGCAACGCCACCCTGTGGTCACGTGGTCCCACAGCCTGGTGGTGCCCCCCCTACCCAGGTGTGCTGTGCCCCCTCCCCTGCAACCTGGACGCCGTGGGGCTGGTGGACCCCAGGGTAGGGGGGCTGGTTGGCCTTGCTGGTCGCATCTCCCTCAGCTTCCACAGGGAGCTTTTGGGAGCCCTCCTGGCCTAGGACTGCCCCCACTTTTCCTTCTGATTTAGCCAGGGGCTCAGCCTCCTAGGGGAAGCACTGGGCTTAGGTGATGGGCCTCCTCACCCTGCAGACCGCCCCCGCCCACCACCAGCAGGACTCAGCTCTGGGTGGGGACCGGGAACTGGAGGGCCTGTAGAGGTCTGGGGCCCTTCTGGCTCCCACGTCCTCTCCACATGGGGTGCCACCTGCCAGTTCTGTTCTAGTTCTATATTCCCTTGCACTGCGACCATGCAGGAAACACGTTCTGTGCTCAGATAAGTGCCTGGGCGTCCCCAGTCCTCTGTACCCTGGACTGGGCAGTCCCCACCCCTGGACTCAAGCAGAGGCGTGAGCGGGTGGAGGACAGGCCTGGTCAGGGACGCAGGAGCAGAAGGGCCAGAGAGAGGAGGTGGCTGTGTAGTGTGTCTGCAGGGGCTTTGGGCAGAGGAGGTTGGGGATGTGATGGTGGTGAGTGGACCTGCTGGCCTGGAGGTCATGGTGGAGGGACCGGGTTTTGGGGGCGCCTGTCTTGTCTCCCCGGGGCCCCAAGCAGAGCTCTGCCCCTGACCTTCCCTCTCTGTAGGTGAGCTCCCGCTGCTGACCCGCCACCACGGTCTCCTCTGAAACTCCCAGGCAGGTGCTCAGCAGAGGGCAGCAGTGCTGCATCTGGTCCTCAGGCCTGTCCTGCCTGCGGGAGAAGAGGCTTGGGCAGGCTGACTTCAGGCTTTGGAGGATCTGAGCACCTCCCAGAGGGGCTTGTGATGAAGCTCCCTGTCAGACCTCCCTACCTTTCCTGCAGCTGTGAGGTCAGGGCTGTGACAGAATCCAGTTCTCCTCACTCCTCTCCCCCTGCAACAGGAACAGGAGGCGTCCAGGCTGAGAGGAAGCTGCCATCCATTGCAGCCGGCCCTGGGCGGGGTCCGCTTTGGGTGGGAGGGGGCGGTGGTTGGCTCTCCCCTTGGTCCCCCTGGCCTCCAGAGGACGTGGAGGGGAGGCCTGGAGGTCTTCGGTGGGCAGCGGCGTGTGTGGGTCTGGGGGCTGGAGGATACCACACCATCCTGGTCTTGGCTATGGCGCTGGTCGCCTGCTGTTGGAGGTGCTGTGGCCTCTGTGGCCGCAAGCTCTGCGCACCTCCCGGTCTTGCTCAGGCACTTGCCTCCTTGTGATGGGGAGGCCCTGAGGGGAGGAGCCCCCCGCCCCCGGGGCACCTGACCCTGACTGGCAGGGCCTGTGTTCTGGGTGCTCGACCCGCGAGTTGGAGGGCACAGGCCACTGCGCTGGGGCTGCTGGCAGCTGGAGGCAGGGAAGGCCACCGCTGTGCTCATCTTGCTGTTGTCTGGTCAGGCCCATTCTGCCTGACAGAGGGAAGCTGGGAAGGGCAGTCAGGGTCCAGCCCAGAGGACCCTGCCTGCATGGCATCAAGGGAGGGGCTGGGCCCTCGGGCCAGTGGGAGGAGGAGGACGGATATTCCCCAGTGCCTCTTCCTGGCTCTGGGTGGGCTCTTGGCTGGTGCCAAGGGCAGGAACACTTGGCTGTGGCGTGTCTGCGTGAGGATGCGTCTGGACAGGCCCGGGGTGGGTCAGAATCGCGGGGCAGGAAAGTGGTGGTCGCTGGCCTGCTGCACACAGAGCAGGGTGCGGGTGGTCAGAGGGGAGACGTGGGCAGGAAGCATCCAGCCCTGCAGCAGGCCCCGCCCTCCTCCTGGTGGGAGGGCCTCCTTGGGGCAGTGCCTCCGGGTCAGCCCTGAGGTGGGGTTCAAGTCACTGGGCTCAGGCCTCTGTAAGGAGCAGTGCTTCCCCGGGGAGGGGGCTGGGCCTTATCGGCCGTTCCTTCTGTCCTAGTGTTTTCACCTCAAGTGACACTCTCACCTGAAGCACCACTAAGGTGCTCATGGTTCTGCAGCGCATGTTTCACAGCAGCTGACATGGAGGTGTGTGTTGGTCACCCTGGCTTCCCCAGCGCCTGGGCCTCACAGGGTCGGCATGCTGGGACCTCTTTCCTGAGTGTGAGTGGGGGGTCCTGGCTGCCGAAGAGGGGTCCTGGGCACTGGGTGGGGGTCCTGGGTGGTACTGGGTGATCTTGACCCACTGCCAACTTGCCCCTTGACCACAGGCTGCAGACTTAGGATTCCATCAGTCTCCACATGTCATAGACTCTTTTCTTTGAGATGATTTCAAAATCTTTATGCGACTGGGGCAGAAAAGGTGGCTTCCTGGACCTTTGGGGACGGGTGTCCGGCACGAGTCCTATTGTCTGAGGCCCCCACGTGAGGCCGCCCTCTGCCTCCTGCCACCGCCCCCCTCACTCAGCTCCCATCCCAGACAGGCCGTCCCCACCTCGGCCCCACCGTGCAGCCCCTCTCCCGTCTCCCTGCCTGTGCACCTGCAGTCCTCTGACCGGCCCCGGGTGACTGGCGGCCTTCCCTGCTGGGGATGAGGGGCCAGGGCGAGTGGGGAGGAAAGTGGGCCAGCTTGGGGCACAACATGAGGCTGTGGGCTTGGGCTCTGACTTGGAAAAGGGGTGGGAGCCCCGTGGGTGTCCTGGCTTCCCTGAACTGGCTGAGCAGTAGGCCACCCTGACAAGCACGTCTCCTCTCAGCTTCTACTTAGATGCCGGAAATCTGTGGCCATTGGATCTTGGAGAGTGCACCCTGCCTGGCGTGCGTGTTGTCTCTGAGGAGACCGGTGAAGGCCCAGTGCGTGGGGCAGCCTGCGGTCCCTGGGTCCCGGGTGTCCCACAGCTACGGCCAGGCGCAGTGGCAGGCGCCCTGAACATAGGCGCAGCCTGGGCTCATGGTCTTGTCCTCCCACGTGTATTCTCTTGGCAGGTGCTGAGGCCAAGACTATTCTGCCGAAGAAGGAGAAGCTGAAGCTGAGGCGCGAGCGGTGGCTTCAGAGTAAGCGTCCCCGTCCCGTCCCGTCCTGTTCCATCCCCGGTGGACCCTTGTCCTGGGCTGGCTCAGAACCCAGCCTCTGGGTGGTCTGGGCCCTGGAGTAGGCGGCCTGCGCTATGACAGGCAGATGGCCCCGTGGCGGTGGGGTGGCCCTGTCACCCGTGCGAAGGTCTGCACGGCCTTACCTCACTCCCCACCAGGAGTGTCACCGCCTCTCCTGGGTAAAACGACGCAGAGGGAGTGCCTGAGGGTCAGGTAATTTATGACACGAAATTTCTCACACCCCTTTCCCGGCCTGCATGTGGCCCTCCAGGCCCTCCCCTGGGTGTGCGACTCTCAGGGCCCCTGGCAGAAGCTGCTGCTCACCCACTGGTGGGGTCAGGGACCCTGGCCTTCGCCCTCCTATTGGGGTGCCTTCGCCTGCCTATCAGGGTGGGTTTCTTAATAATTTTGGGAAGTATACTTATTTTTCATGATGCTGAATATTTGCTGGTGTTTTTCTGAAGGTTTTCTTATGAACATTGTTCTGTAGTTTTTTTTTCTTACAGTTACCTTTTTAGTGTGATTTTGCTGACTTTTAAAACTACTTTGAAATGTTTTATTATGTTCTCACACAGTTAAAGTATGACCAGCATTATTTTTTTTCTTGAAGGTTTTAAAGAAATTATATGTTTAATAAATTTTTAGAGAAATGTATCAGTTTCTTCCATAATTGTTAATTTTAAGTTTCCTTTCAGTTTTTGGATGTGTCTTAAGGAAATGTCTATTCATGCATTTTCTTTTCCACAGTCTGTAGCATGGGGTTGTGCAAAATATTCTTTGTAAGATGGATTTGAAAAGTTAATAGGCCAGGACCACTGGGCCCCTGAACGTTTTGGGCTACAGTTCTCTGACGTTTAAGTTTTCTTCTGTGATGGTTGGTCTTTTTTTAACTACTTGAGCTAATCTTGGTCACTCACTCATTTTCCCATAAAGCCATCTAATCAGATCTCAGCCTTTATTGGCAGAGTTGCTGGTTTCTCTTTATTTAACCTCTTTATCATTCTTTATTTGTATCCCCTTCTCTCTCTTCTGATTGATTTTGTCTTATCTGTTCCAAGAATGCCTGTCTTTAGTTGTCATCTACTCTTTTGTTTTCTAAATTGTTAGCTTCTGTTGTTTTAATACCCTGTTCTTGGTTTCTCTAGGTTTGCTTTAGTGACTTAGTCATTTATTTTTGAATGAAAGGCTAAATGTTAGCCTCTGACTATAGCTTTAGCTATAGCTCCCGAGTTTCTTCCACTGAGTATTTTATTATGAAAAGTTGTGTACAGAAAAGTAGGAAGAATTTTACAGTGGACACCCATATGCCCACCATTCAGACTTTACTATGAGTGCTTCTTCACTTCTTTATCACAGCTGTCTGTCTGTCCATCCCATCTGTCTGGTCCAGCCACCAACCCTTGTTTTAGCTGCATGTTCCAAAGTGCATTACAGATTGAGCACACTTTCTCCCTAGTAACTCTGCTAGAGTTCAGTATTTGTTTATGGTTCTTTTTAGTTTTTATTTTGAGGTGACATTTACATGTGGTGACCTGGACCTCCAGTGTGCTGTGTGGTGACTTGGGGCCAGTGTGTGCACCCGCACACAGCCAGAGTCCTCTCAGGACGTGGACCATCCCCATCGCCCTTCCCGGGCCCACCCCCAGAGGCAGCCACTGTCTGGTCTTTTTCAGGTTGAGTTCAGGCTTCCCTGCTCTGGACGTTGGGTAAGGGCAGTCTGTGTGTGTCTGGGTTCTCCTGCTCAGCTTGGCATCGGGCTCGTCTGTGCCTGGTGGAGCTGTAGTCTGGGTCTGTGTGTTGCTGAGAAGTGTTTCCTTATGTGGACACGCTGTTTGGTATCCACTTTCCTGTGGATGGACACCTGGTGTCTTTTCTCTTTTTAGCTGCTGTGAATAGGCTGTGATGAACATTCTTCACAAGTCTTTTTGTGGACATATGTTTTCATTTCTCTTGGGTAAACACTTGGAATGGAATGCTGGGTCATAGGGCAGGTGTATGTTTAGTTTTCTAAGCAGCTCCCAGACGTTTCTCTCCCGTGGTTGTGCATTTGCGCCCCCAGCAGCATGGGGGAGCTGGGGTTGCTCTGCAGCTGTGCCGGCACGCCTGTCCTGCAGTCCTGGCCGTTCTGCTGAGCGCGAGGTGCCTGTCATTGTGGTGAATGGGCGTTTCATCTGCTGCTGCCCACTGGGGCGTCCTGACGCCCAGGGCTTGTTTCCCGAGGCTCCTGAGGGCTCTTTATTATCAAGCTCCAATAATATTCCTTTATTATCAAGGAGTCCGCTGGCCTGGAGGTGAGTCTCCTCAGATGTGTTTTGCAAATAATTTTCTCCCAGACTGTAACTTGCCTGTTTATTTTCTCAACAGATTTTTTTTTTTTTGCTGAACCGAAGTTTAATTTTGAGGACACTGATTTTGTCTTTTTCCTTTGCATGTTTAGTGTGTGTGCACATGCATATGTGTGTGCACGCGTGCATGCACCATGTTTAAGGAAACTGCCCAGTCCCAAGACAGGAGGATAAATCTACCCTTCTGAAAACGTCATGGTTTTATTTAGATTTCTGATCCATCGTGATTTAGCGTTTGTCTGTGATGTGAAGCACTGGTTCAGGGTTTTCTTTCCTTCAGTTTCATCCGTGTTTGTCGTAAAGACTGTCTCCTTGTGCAGTCATGCTGATGTCCGAAAAGCTGACGCCTCTCACCATGGTTCTACCCGTTGACCCTCCTCGGTTCCAGGCTGTTGAAGCTGCAGCTGTGAAGCAGGTCCTGGGGTTGGACAAGGGAAGTCCTATGTCTGTCCCTCTGTTTCAAAACCGCTTTGGGTGGTCCAGGTTCTTAGCATTTCCATGTGACTCTGATCACAGGCTTGTCAACTTCTTAAAAGCCACCACCACCACCTGGTTTAGCAGTGACCTATAGATCATGTCTGGCTTCATACATGAGTTCAGGAGAAGTGCCATTTTAACGATGCTCGGTCTTCATCCATGAACACTGTAATTTCTCCTTTAATCTTTTGTTGTTGTTCAGTCACTAAGTTATGTCCGACTGTTTTTGACCCCATGGACTGCAGCATGTCAGGCTCCTCTGCCCTTCACTGTCTCCCAAAGTTTGCTCTGACTTATGTCCATTAAGTTGGTGATGCCATTCAGACATCTCATCCTCTGTCATTCCCTTCTTCTCTTGCCTTCAATCTTTTCCAGCATCAGGGTCTTTTTCAGTGAGTCAGCTCTTTGCATCAGGTTTCCAAAGTACTGGAGCTTCAGCTTCAGCGTCAGTCCTTCCAGTGAATATTTAGGACTGATCTCCTTTAGGATGGACTGGTTGGATCTTGCTGTCCAAGGGACTCTCAAGAGTCTTCTCCAACACCACAGTTCAAAAGCATCAATTCTTCGACATTTAGCTTTCTTTGTCAACCAACTCTCCCATCCATACACGACTAGTGGAAAAACCATAGCTTTGACTAGGTGGACCTTTGTTAGCAAAGTAATATCTTTGCTTTTTAACATGCAGTCTAGGTTTTTCATAGCTTTCCTTCCGAGGAGTAAATGTCTTTTAACTTCATGGCTGCAGTTACCATCCACAGTGATTTTGGAGCCCAAGAAAGTAAAATCTGCCACTGTTTTCTTTTTTCCCCATCTGTTTGTCATGAAGTGATGGGACCGGATGCGATGATCTTAGTTTTTTGTATGTTTACTTTTAAGCCAGCTTTTTCACCCTCCTCTTTCACCTTCATCAAGGCCTCTTGAGCCTTTTTAGCTCTTCTTCACTTCTGCCCTTAGGTTAGTGTCATATGCAAATCTGAGTTGTTGATATTTCTTCTGGAAATCTTGACTCCAGCTTATGATTCTTCCATCATTTCGTGTGGTGTACTCTGCATTTAAGTTAAGTAAGCAAGGTGACAATGTACATCATTGTCATACTCCTTTCCCAATTTTGAAGCAGTCAGTTGTTCCATGTCTGCTTCTACTGTTGATTCTTGAGCCATATACAGGTTTCCCAGGAGACAGGTGAGGTGGTCTGATATTCCAGTCTCTAAGAATTTTCCATAGTTTGCTGTGATCCACACAGTCAAAGGCTTTAGCTTAGTCAGTGAAGTAGAAATAGATTTTTTATGAAACTCCCTTGGTTTCTCCATAATCCAACGAATGTTGGCAATTTGATCTCTGGTTCCTCTGCTTCTTTGAAACCTAGTTTATACATCTCCTTTCATTTAAGTTTTTCTCAATTTCTGTCATCCCCGTTGTGTGATTTTCAGAGTAGAAGTCTTAGATTTTTTTTTTGATAAGCTTATTGCCAGCTCTTTATTAGCTTATTGCTAATACTTTTTGAAGCTATTATAAATGGAATTCACAAAAGTTTCATTTTCCAGTTTTTACTATGTATTATTATGTTATCATTTATTAATTATTACTAACTCTGTACCCTCTGATCTTGTTAAAATTGTGTGTTCTGGTAATTATCCTATAGATTTGGTAGAATGTTTTTCATAAACGATCATGCTACAGTACTTAAGATAGAGACAGTTTTACCTCTCTTTCCAGTCTCTGTGTTATGTCTTCTCTTCCTACTGCAGCAGCTAGAGTGGGTGAGGATTGTTTCTGGTCTCTGGGGGCCAGGGGCCCGTGGTCACTGTCCTGTGAACCTGCTTTGCTCAGGGTCAGCAACCACAGACCACGTTGGGGCATAAAGCCGGTGGTGCTCACTTGAGCTCTGTTTGTTATGGGTGAGCAGATGCGGGCAGGGAAGCAGGGGGCACCAGGGTGGACGGGCCCTCCAGGGAGCTGTGCCTGACCTCTGGGCACTGTGTGGACTGCAGGCCCCGTTGGCACGGCGGCAGGCTTGAGGCGGCGGGGAGGAGCTGCATGCTCGCGTCGCCCGCCCCGGGCTCGGAGTCACCCTCACCTGGGCTCGGCGGGGTCAGCGTGGGTCAGCACCGTCCCTTCTGTGGCCTGCTTCACCAGAGACTGTCTCATGTATGTGAGATGCGGTTTCTGATAGATGGTCTCTGATTGGGGAGGTTCTTCCTGTTCTTGGTCTCACTGTGATCTTTATCCTGAGTGGACAGTGAATTCTGTCAGATTCTGTGGGCACTTCTTGTGGTAACCCTGGCCTTTCCCTTTGAAGCAGCCACTGCAGTGGCCCGCTGGCACATGTGCTTGTGTTGTGCCGTCCTTGCACACCTCAGATGTGTCCTGGGTGGACCCCAATGTTACTAACCTAAAACGCTGATTTGCCTGCTCCTCTGTAGGCAGACAGGTGTCCTGTGTCCTGCTAGGAGCCAGGCCTGTCCTGCTGTCTTTGGTCCCTGCAGCTTTGGTGCTGGGCCTGCCAGCCAGGAAGGGAGCTACCTGTCCGTTCCCCTGCCTGACCCCCCGACCCCCCACTCCACCTGGGTGCTGGGCTCCCAGGGAAGAGGCCCCAGCTTGATGAGCTGAGTAAATTGCCCCGGCAGCATGGAGAGCCCTGGATCGTTGCCTTTAAATCCTGGTGTCCCAACACCGAGGGGTGGCCTGGGCCAGGGCCCAAGGACCCGGAGGAGGGTGGTTTTTGTCCCAGAGCCCAGCTCTCTGGAGTGAGGTGCAGGCCCCTGGACTCCGGCAGCCTCCTTGTGGCTGGGGCAGGTGTGTCCTGCTGGGCTTGTCTGGCTTGCCCTTGCTGGGCTTCTCTGGGCCTTTGGGGGTGACTGCGAGCTGGGAGGAGCTGCTCCTGCCAGGCTTCCCAAGTAGTCAGTTTCTGGAAATTATTCTCTTCTGGAGATGCCTGTGAGCGTCAGCACGCACCCCTCACATTTCACACACACCTCCTGCACTCGGGGTGGGCTGTCCTGAGTGTGTCCAGCCCCCATTCTCCTGGCCTGCCCTGTGTCTGGTGTCATCACCTCTCCCCCGGGCACCATGCCCACCTCCATCACCTCTCGCACCTGCCCTGATGGGCAGCTGGGTGGCCACAGACCCACATCCCCTTGGGACCTCCTGTCGGGCCCACCTGGGCCGCTGGCTGTCGCCTCTCTACTGGCTTCTTCTGGCCCCTCGGCTGCACTGAGTCCACCGACCGCTCAGGAAGGTGCTTCCAGCTGTCTTTTTAGAGGAGATTCAGAGTCTGCAGCTGGTTATTTATAGCCCAGTAAAACTCGCACAGTAGGGAGGCGGGGAGCGTCTCTGCTCTGGTCCAGCCATCCCAGATCCATCACAGCCTCATTTTCCAGCTTTTTAGAAGCAGAGCTTTTTTTTTTTTTTTTTAAGGGAATCTAATGCAGAACAACTAACAAATCACTTATCACAGATTCAGGCAGTCTCCTGGAGCAAGGTCTGCACACAGACTAGTGAGCTGGCAGGTCCACACAGCACACTGTGGAGACAGCGCGCTTGAGAGCTTATTTTGTTAACACACCACTTATAAAATGGAATTCAGACCTCGAGGCCCTTCTCTGTGTGGTGGCCACAGCCTTGCCGGCCAGCGGTGGCCTAACCCAGTGGCTCACCCACGGCCCTGCCCTCCACCTGGCAGCCCGGACCTGGGCCCTGTCACCCTGTCTCTCTGCCCAGTGCCCCTGCTCCTCCTGACAGCCCCCCATCATGCAGGAGCCCCCTTGAACCCCCCCTCCTGCTTTGCACCTGGCCGGTGTTGGGGACCCTTCACTCTGTCACCGCTTCCCATGGGGACCACTTCTCTTTTCTGGGTGCATCCCCAAGAAGCCGACTGTGGGGCAGAGGGGAGGGGACCAGCTTCTCTGACTCTGCAGGCCCCTCTGTCTGCCCACCCCTCCGCTCACCCTCTCCTCCAGGCCTCAGGGCCCTGGGCTTCTCAAGGGCAACTCATCTGCCTGCAGCCCATCTCCCCAGGCTTGTGATTCCACGGCTGTCTCCAGGATTAAGGGGAGCAAATTGCTTGGGATGCACCCCTCTACCCCCTCCCACCCTGCGTTCCCGGCCAAGCTCTGGCTCTGCAGGCTGGGAGCCGGGACCCCCTGCTGCTGAAGTCCACGGCCGAGCACTTCTGGGCCCTCTCTCGCTGACCCTGTGTCCACCTTCCTCAGAGATTGAAGCCATAAAGCTGGCGGAGCAGAAACGCAAGGCAGAGCGGAGGCGGAGGGCCACGGTGGTGGTGGGGGACCTGCAGCCCTTGAGGGACGCCCTCCCTGAGCTGCTGCAGCTGGAGGCCGGCAGCCGGCGGCCCCCCACCCGACGGTGAGTGTTGTGTCTGCAGGAGAGGCTGAGCGGTGGGGTGGCCGGGCTGGGCACTGACCCTGCAGAGGCCCATCTTGACTTGGGACACGCTTGTCTCAGGCCCAGCCATGTGGCAGGGGCCTGGGCCTTCTCAGGAGTGGGTGCCCGCTGGCGCGTGGACGGCACTGTTGGTCTCCCACGGCCACGCCCCTGCCCCAGGCTGCTCGTCCTGCTCCCCTGGGGCCTGGTGCTGCGGATGAGTGTCCTGCTCTGCACCAGCCAGGTGTGAGCATTCCCGGCTTCAGGACGAGTGGGGAGATGGAGTCCTTCCTGTCCTGTCGTGGGTCCTGGACCTTCACCATTTCCTGGGTTGTCTTTGATTTGTCTTTTTGAAATAATTCTTTTTCCTGCCGAATACCCCTCTGAGGAGGAAGGATTGGGGTGGCGGGCGACAGGCTCAGGGCCCCTTGGCGGCAGAGTTAGGTGGTCAGTCCTAGCCAGTCCAGGATGGGTGTGCCCAGAGCGTGGAGTCCAGATGAGGAGTGGCCATCGGAGCTGGGGTTTGGCGATGGAGCTGGAGCCTGAAATGCACATTCCATTCCTGGTTCTTGAACAAAAATGTGACCCGGTCAAGCGTCCTCACACTGCTTGCAGTTTTCTCATCCAAAAAATGTGCTTGCTCCCAGAGGGGCGAGAGCCGCACAAACACCGCCTGCAGCCTGAGGAGGACCTGGAGGCTGCCGGGGGTGGAGGTGGGGGGCACTCTCCCAGCCACTGACACCCCCGCCCCCAGCTGCCTCTTGGCACCAGGAGCTGTGTGCCGAGGTAAATGTTATTCTAGAGCAGAGTTTGATGATAGAGAAGTTGGTGGTGATGCCGAGAGTCACACGGCTCTCCTCACGTCTGACGTCAGCCCGTGCATTTGTCACAGTCAGGAACCAGCTTCATTCATAAATAACAGTCAGCTAAAAGCTCAGTCTGTTCGGACTCCTCAGTTTCCCCTAGTGACCATCTGCTGCTCCAGGGCTCCGGCCAGGCCCCCACGTGACATGCAGCCATCAAGTCCCCTCAGCGCCTCTGGGCTGGGATAGTCTCTCAGACCTTCTTGTCTTTAACGACCTTGACGGTCTGGAGGAGGAGCCAGGCATTGTTCAGGACGCCCCTCAGTGAAGACCACAGGGCGGAGGGGCCCTTCTCAGCACGTCCCAGTCCGGGGTGCGTGCTGTCACGTGACCTACATGGTGGACGCTGACCGTGGTCACCGGTGCAGTTGTGTCCATCAGGTCTCTCCACTGTGCTGCCCCCACCTCCCCCCGTCCTCTGGAAGGAGGTCGCTGAGCCCACCCCCCACCCGAGGAGGGAGAGCTCCCCTGCCCTGAGGACGGGGCCGCTGCAGAGCCACGTGGAGCCTCCCGGCTTCCTTCTCTGTCACTTGTTCATGTCAGGGTGGCCCAGTGGGTATTTATTTATTTTATGCTTCGGGCCGTGATCCAGTATGACTCTGTTCTGTTGCTGAACTGGCTCTGGCGCTGGCCCTCGAGAGCTCCTCAGCTGGCTCCGCTGTCCCCCCCAACACTCCCATCTGCGGGGGCTGTTGTGTTTTGTTTCTGAGTACTTCCCTTCCTCGGGCACAAGATGCTCCAGGCTCATCCAGGCATTTCCTGCTCCTGTCTGAGAGTCAGTGTTCCTCCAGGGAGTCCAGTCCCTTCCGCAGGAAATGGTGTAAGAGACCACGACCTGGGTGCTGATGTCTGACTACAACTGGGGAGTCCTGGCCCCTCTCAGCAGGCTGGGGTCCCCAAGACCACTCTTAGGCTTTGCGATTCCCACAGGAGACTGTTACACTCACAGTCACAGTTTATTATGGCGGAAGGATACAGATTAGAGTGAGCTGAGGGAGGAGGCATGTGGGGAGGGCCCAGGAGAGTCGCCGCCATGGGTCCCGTGGGGGCAGCACCGCAGTCTTGCCCAGGACGGCAGGGACCCCGCCGCACTCGGCCCTGGGGGATGGGCCATCAGGCGGCATGCTTTGGTCCCTCCACTCCAGTCTGTACCCTCCTCCCGCTGGCAGGGTGGGGGTCTGCCCCAGAGGTCTGCTGAGCCAGGTGTTTGGCCTCTTCCTGCTTCATGAGGGCAAGGCTTCCAGAGCCTGGTACAGGAATGGTGCAGCTGGCAGTGACTTCGGGTATGCCCACCCTCCCCCCCGGCATCAGAGTTGGGCAGGATGTGTTGTGGGGCAGCTTTGCGTCCGGGAACCCAGACTCCAAGTGCCTTGCCTGGGCCCGGTCACCTGCTGGGATACCCCAGCGGAGGCCCTGGGCTGCCCCAGGTTCATCCCAAATCTGGGTGGTGTGGGGAGAGCCTGAGGTTCTGAGCAGGCCCAGTGGGCTGTTGGGTGTTCCCCCCGACAGGTGGCACTGCCCAGCACTGACTTGGCCCCCAGGCCCCTGGAGAGCCTGAGGGGCCCAAGACCAGAGCAGGTGGTTCTCTGCCAGTGGGCTGCGCTCACCAGGGAAAAGGGTCAAGTCTGGAGAAAGTGGTTCCTGCAAGGTCCAAAGGTTGTAGATGATGAGGGTGGGGGGCCTGATAAGGGGGCACCTGACCCTGGGAGCCGGTGCCTGTCACCAACTGGGCTTTCTGGACCCTGGGGCCTCAGGGGATCACCCACCAGTGCTGTGGATTGAGATGAGAGTCCCGTTTGGTTTTGGGCCCCAGTCCCCTTGGGGTGGGTGCCACAAGGGCTTGTTCACATCAGAGGGTGAGGGACGGGGTAGCATAAGAGCCCTGAAGCTGGGAGCCACCTGGGCCCACTCGCATTCCCAGGGCCTGGGTACCAGCCGAAGGGAGCCTGTCAGGACAGCACTGGCCTGTCTTGCAGTCGGGAAAACAAGACTTTTGCTGGAACAACTTCCCCAAGGGTCACCCAGGGCATTTGGCACCCAGAGCCGCAGCCCCCAGTGCTGGCAGGGCCAGGGTCCTCTTCCAGCTCCGTGGTTCTTGGGAGTGGGCAGCTGCATCAGTTTTGGCAGGAAGGTCTCTATCCACTCTGTCCACTCTCAGTGCGCTCGGCCCTGCAGCCAGAGCTACACCCGGGTGCTGGGTGAGCTGGGGGCGGGGAGGGGCAGGACCTGGGCTGGTGTCTGGTGTGAATGTCCCCATCCTGGGCTTTGGAGTGAGCACAGGGTAGGTCAGTTCCCTGTGCCCCCACAGCCTCCGGGAATCCACCCTGCCTGCCTTTGTCCACAGTGGAAAACCCCAGCAGGGAGGGGCGTGCCATTCCTGTGAGCGGCCTGCCAGGCCCTGGATGTGTCCTGAGTCTCGGGTGAGGGTCCTGCCTCTCCTTGTCACGCTAGGCTGTCCCTGGGCCCTGAGGGGACTCCCAGGGGTGTGCTTGCACCTTGGGGCCCTTGACTGTCAGAGCAGGAAGAGGCTGTGGGAGGCCTTCTTACCTGAACTGGATGGGGATGAAGATTCAGGGCGTGAGGTCTCCAGGCCTCCTGACCTCCCAGCACGGAGGCGCCACCTCCTGGGTGGGGGGTGCGGCTGGGGGAAGGGAGACCCAGGCCCACTGGATTGGCAAGGGTAGGGCCTCCAGGGAGCTCAGTGGTGGACAGGGAACCTGCTCCTGGGTGGACACAGAGAGAGGGGTCAGTGGTGAAAGGAACAGGGCCACAGTGTCTTGGGGCTGACACTGAGCCGGAAGGGGGCTGTCCTGGGGGTCTGGAGCAGGAGGGAGTCGGGATGGAGTACCCCCAGAGCAGCTGAGACCAGGGAAAAGAGGGAACATGAATAACAAATGAGGGCTTCTGGTCTGGAGGCCAGAGTTGGGTATTGTCTCAGGACTCACAGGTTTTCTAGGTTACCGCTCTGCCAGGTCCCTTCTGCCATGGGGCACCTGTAGCCTTCCAGGCCAGCGGAGAACCCTATGTGGACTGTGGCTTCCAGTTGAGACTCGTGGGCCATGCTGACCTCTTTCTCTGTGTTCCCAGCAGGGTAGCCAGCAGGCCCCGGCCCGCCGAGCTGAGCCGGATGAGCGCCGTGCAGAGGCTCCAGCTCCTGTGAGTGCCGCACCCCTCCTCACCACCCCCTCCCACCACACACACACAAAGGACGCCCAGTGTCTTACCTGCTTCCACACGGCCCATCCAGGGCTTCCCCCACCCGAGCCTTGGTGTGCTGGGGCTCAGCCTGGGGGGGCATGGACAACCTGTCTCCAGGGACCAGGAAGCCCTCTCCCCTGGAGTGCTGAGGGCAGCTGCTGGGTCTTGGGGGGCTGCCCTTGGGACCCGGGTCCTAGGCATCTTGGGAGTGTGGACACCTGGCCAGTCAGTCAGCCATCCTTTGGGATCTAAAGTCTCCCCGTTAACAGCACAGAAAGCTGGGGCATGGTGTGGTTTGGTCTTGTCTTTGGTCATGCACCTGTGGAAGGTATAGGCTGGGCTCTCCACCCTGCCTCGCCAGCCCAAGGCCAGGGCCGTCCCTGCCACGTGCCATGACGGGCCTGCCACCCTGAGGTTCCAGACCAGGTCACCTCAGTCTCAGTGGCAGAGATGTTGTCCCCAGAGGCACCTGCCCAGGTCACCCATGGCTGTGCTGGGCTGCAGGGCCAAGGTGTGAGCTGGCCCTGGCACCTTGGGGAGGTGACGTGGCCAGCTGAGCTTAGGGATGGGCACAGAGAGGCAGCCCCCACCCCCCGTGGACTTGGGGGCCCAGGGCTTTCTGCGGGAAGGGTGGGCCCACTGCAGACCCCCATCACCACGGGGCCCGGAGCCCCTGCTCCTGCAGGACCAAGCTGGCGAGGTGCTGCCATGTGAGGTTTTGTGTGTGCAGGGCGCCTGCCGTCGCCTTTGACAGCAGCTCCTTGTCACAGTCATGGTGGTGGAGGGGCCTTTGTGACCACAAACAGGCCCCAGGGCAGCCCCTCCCTTCCTACCTGAAGTGCCCCCTCCCCCGGGCCTCAAGACCCCTGTCGTCCCACACCCAGACCCACCAGGCAGAATCTCAGCCCCACAGCCTGCCTCACAGCCCGCCCCGTCCAGCCCTGGACTGGCGCTGTGCTGGTCCCTCCCTGGGGGTGGCTGTGCCGAGGCTGGCCCTGTGGTCGCTGGCTGTCCCGCACCCACCCTGCCCACTGACCTCCACTCCCACTTCTTGCAGCGAGGAGGAACGGACGCGGTTTCAGGAGCTGCTGGCCAGTCCGGCCTATAGAGCCAGCCCTCTGCTGGTCATCGGGCGGCAGTTGGCTGAGCAGATGCAGCTGGAGGGCGGTGGGCAGCCCTGAGCCCGCGGAGCGTGTGAGAGCCGAGGGCACCCACCAGGAGGTCCCCGGGGCTGCCAGCCCCTTCCTCCGCGACACGGCTGCTGTGCTTGACACAGACAGGAGACAGGCGGTTGACGCGGGAGTATTGTGACGACACATTTATTTTTGCAATAAAAACAGTGCTGGAAAAGCCAAGGTGTCCATGGAACTCTGCCCGCCCCACAGGAGGTGGTGCGGCCACGCGTCCGGCCTCCTCCTCACTTTTCTCTGTGATCTGGGCCGGTGGGCAGTGACACGCACACATGTATCATGTTAGACCAGCCTACTGGCTTGTCCTCCAGGGGCTCCAGGCTGACCGCGGCTGGATGCGGCTCGGCCACCTTCTTGCATTGCCGGCTGTCAGGGCCTCTGACCTCTGCCCAACGCCAGGACCTTTTCCTTGAGCTCACCTGTGGGGGACGGGGAGGTGCGGGGCGAGCCCGACCCTGCCACCCTCTGCGGTGGGCCATCCACTGCCATCCACTGCGGCAGACTTGCTGGGAATGTGGCTGAGAAGCCGCAAATGTCCGGGGATGTCCCTCTCCCCTGAGCCGAGTGCCCTGCCGCCCAGATAGTTGGGGGTGGGGTGGGGGAGGAGGGTAGGTGGGAGAGACCCCCCTCTCCCTCCCCACTCTTGGGAGCCTGCTGGCTGCCATCTCTGACCCAGAGGGACTTTGGTGTTCGCTTACCTGTGTTTTTAATCTTCATAGAATGCACTTGGATTAATTTGGTAATCAAATTAAGTGACAACAATTGGGTGGTTTTCATGTGCATTTTAAATTCAGTTGCCTTCGGGCTCTGAAGGACTGGCAGGCCTGAGCTGAGGTGTCCACCCTACAGGGCCTTTGAGGGGTTCTGGTCAAGGATGGGGCTCCTCAGCTGGGCGTTCTGCAACCCCCAGCAGTGGGCAGAGGCAGGGGCAGAGTCCTGCAAGCCTCCAGGCCTTGGAGAGGGAGTGGGGGCTGGGGGAGGGGACAGTGGGGCAGTGGCGGAGCCCCCTGAGGGGTGTGGACAGGCGGCAGAGTGGCCTGGGCAGGGGTGTCACCCAGCGGAAGGAGCAGCAGCTGCTAGGCTGAGGGAGTGAGGGCTCCGAACAAGATGGACGAGACGCCAGGGCAGAGTCCATGGCGGCGGGGCTGGTGGGTCCCCTCGGAAGACAGACCTCAGTCCAGACGACAAGCAGTGGGCGCCTGCTGCTTGCCTGGAGGTGTAGGGGGCAGGATGTGAGCAGCAAGGAGAAGGGACTTGAGAGTGGGGACAGCAGAGCCCTGGGGGGTGCCCGGACAGGCTGCTGGTGTCCTGGGTAGGTGGTCAGGGTCGCCCTGGGGCCCTCTGCCGCTGTGTGGGGCAGGGCTCAGGACAAGTGGGCGGGGGCGGCCTGGGGGCTGGGGGCTGGAGGGCTGGCTCATGCGGGGGCCACACCCTCTGATGTGGGTGCTTAGTTGCTCAGTCTCTTTGTGACCCCATGGACCAGTCTCCTCTGTCATGGGATTTTCCAGGCAAGAGTACTGGAGTGGGCAGCCATGCCCTCCTTTAGGGGATCTTCCCCAACCAGGGATTGAACCCAGGTCTCCCGCGTCGCAGGCATTCTCTACCAGCTGAGCCACCAGGGAAGCTTCTGGCTTTGTCCAGATGGTCCCACATCGGTTCCGGTGTCACCCAGCCTACAACAAGCCAGCCCTGTTTGTGCCTGGCATTGGCTGTCTTGGGAGGGCGTCCACCAGGTGGGGCCAGTCAGGGAGGGGATGGTGCATGGACGAGGTTCCGGGGATGACTCGGGTCCCGAGCCGTCTGCAGCCAGGTTTGCGCAACTCCAGCTGTGCTGCTGCTTGAACGTTCCTTGCTCAGTGATAATGCCGGTGACCCAGCCTGGCTGAGGTCATGGTGCTGAGAGGCTTTCAGCGTTCCCAGGGTCTGGAGCTCCGGGGGCACGGGTGGTGAGGGGTTGGAGGGCTTTCACAGCAGCGGCTGCCACCCTGTCTTGTTTTATCTCTTCTAAAGATGCTCAAATGACAGGTTAAAATGCTGGTTACAGGCATATTCCTGATGTTGGATCATGTTTCTTAAGTCTTCCTTAAGGTTAAGAAATCTTTATTTTTAGATTCTGGGGAGAAAGTCTGTGATTATTTGTATCTCTGGATCCAAGTGTTCTCTCTGGTGCCACAGAGCCTCTCGGACCGTGGGCCTCCTGCAGGGCCTGAGCCTCATCCCTCCTGTTCCCCTGGTCCCTGGGGCCCAGCTGGGCCCTTCCCTCCACAGGGAAACTGAGTCTGGAGACGGGGGCCTCCTTCCAGCTGGTGCTGGCCACCCCATGACCCCACTTACCCCTTGACCTCGCCCTCAGTTCAGGCCAACACCAGGTGCGCCGCAGCGCAAGCCTTGGAGTACCCCGGGGGAGGAGCCCCCCTGCCCCCCAGCGCCCTTCTGCCTTGGGTCTGGTTTCTAGCTCAGCGGTAATTACTCCCACCTCAGCGTCTCCTGGGCTGGGAGCAGAGTAATCACATAATGATGTTTAATTAGAGTGCCAGGCCCAAGTCAGCCCTCCGGCTGCAGGGCTCCTACAGGGAACGAGGGGGCTGGCCTCCTGTGGGTGCCCGGGCCTGAGGACCTGGCCTGGCCGACGCAGTACCCCCACCTCCCAGAGCTGATGCGCCCTCATGCTCGGTGCATCACCAGCAGGGCCCACCTCTAGCTCTGTCTCATGTGGCCAACCCTTGCCGCCCTAAACTGTGGCCAGCCGTACCACGCCACCAGGTGAAGAGGCCCCTCCCCACAGGGACCTCTATCCGGTGGGGCGGGCACAGCTGTCCTGCCAGCCCAGTCTGGGGCTGGAGGAGGAGGCAGGGGGACAGCAGCAAGTGTGAGTGGGGGCACCAGCTCTGTGCTCGCTGAACTCACCCCAGAGCAGACAGCAGCAGAGGCCCTGGGCAGGCCCCTCCTGGCTGTGTGTCTGCACGGATGGGGCCTTCCTGGCTCTTGTCTGCATGGATGGGGCCTTCTTGACTGCATCTGCATGGATGGGGTTCTGGAGGCATTGGGCTGGGTGGCAGTATGCAAGGGTGGTTTGTCCTGGACCTGGGATTACCACAGAGCAGGCTGGGGACACTGTCCTGCTGAGCCCCAGGATGAGAGGTGCCTTGGTCATCTGCTAGTCCCTACCACAGGCTGCTAGTAACAGAGAACACAAGTCACTATGGCTGATGATGTTTAAAATGGGAAGGGTTGCCCCTCGTACAATGAGGATCTGGAAGCAGGCAGTCCAAGTCTTCAGGGTATCAGCAGCAGCCCAGGTGCCACTGTCCTCTACTCATCCTGGTGCTGATGAAGCTGCCAGTGCCCCAGCCATCACGTCACACTACAGGCAGGAAAGGGGGAGAGGCAGAGGGCAAACAGCAAGAGGAATGGGGAAACCTGGTCTAGTCCCATTCTAAGGTCTCCTCAGAGGCCCACCCAGGGATGTCCTCTCTCAGCTCACTGGCCAGGACTGGGTTATGTGCCCTCCCCAGACTCCAGTGGGGTTGGGCAGGCAGGGACAGCTTCTGCTGAGGAGAGCAAGGCTCCTGCCCTTTGAGCCTTGAGGAAGCCTCCAGTCAGTCCCTGATCATGTGACCCTGTCTTTGTCCTCAGCACTGAACCCTGCGCCTCTGTGGGGGAGGTGGGTTCAGATTTGGACACCAGGCAGGTCTGGGACGCTCTGCTCTGGGCCTCAGCTATGGCTAGGCCATATCCTGGGGAGGAGCTGGGCATGGCCCTGTCCTTGCCCCCACCCCACTCAGGTGGCACAGCTGTCTTCCCGAAGGCCCTGTCCACCCTCAACCTGTGGCCCCGGGCTCTGCTCAGCCACGGGCCCTCTGGGGCCTGGTCACTGCGGCATGTGGCCCCGGGCTCTGCTCAGCCACGGGCCCTCTGGGGCCTGGTCACTGCGGCATGTGGCCCCGGGCTCTGCTCAGCCACGGGCCCTCTGGGGCCTGGTCACTGCGGCATGTGGCCCCGGGCTCTGCTCAGCCACGGGCCCTCTGGGGCCTGGTCACTGCGGCATGTGGCCCCGGGCTCTGCTCAGCCACGGGCCCTCTGGGGCCTGGTCACTGCGGCATGTGGCCCCGGGCTCTGCTCAGCCACGGGCCCTCTGGGGCCTGGTCACTGCGGCATGTGGCCCCGGGCTCTGCTCAGCCACGGGCCCTCTGGGGCCTGGTCACTGCGGCATGTGGCCCCGGGCTCTGCTCAGCCACGGGCCCTCTGGGGCCTGGTCACTGCGGCATGTGGCCCCGGGCTCTGCTCAGCCACGGGCCCTCTGGGGCCTGGTCACTGCGGCATGTGGCCCCGGGCTCTGCTCAGCCACGGGCCCTCTGGGGCCTGGTCACTGCGGCATGTGGCCCCGGGCTCTGCTCAGCCACGGGCCCTCTGGGGCCTGGTCACTGCGGCATGTGGCCCCGGGCTCTGCTCAGCCACGGGCCCTCTGGGGCCTGGTCACTGCGGCATGTGGCCCCGGGCTCTGCTCAGCCACGGGCCCTCTGGGGCCTGGTCACTGCGGCATGTGGCCCCGGGCTCTGCTCAGCCACGGGCCCTCTGGGGCCTGGTCACTGCGGCATGTGGCCCCGGGCTCTGCTCAGCCACGGGCCCTCTGGGGCCTGGTCACTGCGGCATGTGGCCCCGGGCTCTGCTCAGCCACGGGCCCTCTGGGGCCTGGTCACTGCGGCATGTGGCCCCGGGCTCTGCTCAGCCACGGGCCCTCTGGGGCCTGGTCACTGCGGCATGTGGCCCCGGGCTCTGCTCAGCCACGGGCCCTCTGGGGCCTGGTCACTGCGGCATGTGGCCCCGGGCTCTGCTCAGCCACGGGCCCTCTGGGGCCTGGTCACTGCGGCATGTGGCCCCGGGCTCTGCTCAGCCACGGGCCCTCTGGGGCCTGGTCACTGCGGCATGTGGCCCCGGGCTCTGCTCAGCCACGGGCCCTCTGGGGCCTGGTCACTGCGGCATGTGGCCCC